TTAAAAATGTTCTTGTACTTGTTTATCTTGTACCCCCAGTCTATCTCTGTGACTTCTGGCTGTTCAGTATTCATTTTATACAATGATAAAAATCTGTTCTACTTAAAAATAGTAATTTATTTTCAAATAAGTGTAGATCGAGAGGAAACTTTTTTAAAAGAATTGATTCTGATTCTTTTACAGATATATATTTAAAAAAGTATTTAGATTTTATATATTTGTAATAATAGAATATTATAAATAATAAAATACCTTAATTAATCCTAACTTATTTTGAAATTCATAATTAGTAAAATATGTTCTACCTAACCAATTCCGATCATAAGGAGCACTATCAAAATATAATTCAACTAATTTTGCTCCAGCATGATTTAAATACTTAACAATTAAGTTATTTTCTTCAATTATATTTACTAAAGTTTCTTTTTGGTTTGATGAAAGTACTGCAATTACAAGTGGTAGTATTCCTGGTATAATTGCTGAAATTGTATAAACTGTAATGTAAGTTGCTTTTTTCAAAGTTACTAACTTTTGATGAAGTTTATCAATTGTTATTAAATAAGGAATAGATGTTGCATTTGTATACATCCAACAAACTGAGTATGATGATGATCTACTTCAATCATTTCAGCAATTTTAGTTTGATCTTTTGTGTATATAATTGGTCTTGAATAATTATATGCATATCTCCAATTATTAATTAATTTAGAAAAATTTAAAACATTAATTCCTAAAAGATTATAAGAGTCATCACTTTTATTTCTTATTTGTCACAGAAATCTTATTGTTGGCCCTGCAAGATTTAATGTAATCCATAATACAACAAGAGTACTAATTGAGATAAGTACTACAAGAAAAACAACAAACGTCTTATTCATTTATAATTTTTTTAAATAAAATTAAAAAATTATTAATCAAAAAAATTATTCAAAAAACTCAATCTAACGATTACTTGGTACAAAACTAGCAGAAGGCAAAAAGTAAACTCTATACTAGAAAGAAGCGACAAACACATCAACAAACTCAATAGAACATAGAAAAAGGCTTTAAACACAGGCCTGTACTAGATTAATTACTTGGTAGTAGTCGAAACAAGTGAGAAAAACAGTATTTCTCGATTAAAGAAAGTGCACAGTAACAAAACTCAGGCAAAACAGAGTTCAGCTCAGTATAAGCAACAAAGCTATATCAGTACAGTAAAAAAAAGCTAAACTAATTGTAAATCATAGCACATCTTCAGTCCGAAGAAGCTAAGTAGTCAAATATCTTAGTATAAAGCCAAAACTCGATATTTTTGTACATTTGGAAAAACAGCGTTAACCCTGTAGTGCCGATCCCTGGTGTAATACAATTACTGCAAACATCAACACGCAGCAACATAGAAGCTTCTACAAAAAAATTACACGTGAAATCATGTTAAAAATATGTAAAAACACGTACGACACGTACTGAGTTGAAATTATATAATTTTACTATAGAGTAGCTATTGCAATAACTGTTAATATGAGTCACATGCACAAAATGAATACTGAACAGCCAGAAGTCACAGAGATAGACTGGGGGTACAAGATAAACAAGTACAAGAACATTTTTAA